CCCCCCCCCCCCTCCTCCCCCCATGAATCCGAGCCCTCTGGCACCGCCCAGTTGTCGTACAACGAACCCGGACTTCATGGGCGATGCAGTGTACCTCGGAGACTTGGGGGGTAACTGTGGGTTTACAGGGTTTTGCTTCTGCCATATACGTAAAATCCAGGTTTCGCATCCTGTGTTTTTCATCACATCAAACCCTAAACCCGAAACCCTAAACCCTCAACAGTTGGGGGCTTAGGGTTTTTTGAATTGGGGGTTTCTTTAGGGGCATCGAATTTCTTCGCAAAGATGTAAGAACCCCTTGCATTCAGCAATAACCTTCAAGCCAAAACTGCAACTAAAGCCGTAAACCCTAAACCCTCGTCTGACCTAGAGTCCAATTTCGGTTTCTGACTCTAGGGGTTTCTGACAAGGAGTACCATGAATTCTTGATCTCTAAAACCTCGAAACCCTTAAATCATGCAACCCTAAGGCNNCCTAAACCCCACACCCTAAACCCCGAAACACTTACATCATGAAGCCCTAAAACCTAAACCCTAAACCCCGAAAATCATGAAACCCTAAAACCTAAATTCTAAACCCTAAACCTTAAACCCTACATCCTCTAGCTCTCTGGGCTTGCAGGGCCGATAGGTAGACAGCTGGGAGTCACAAAGCACTAGTGTAGGTGACTCAAAAAAAGAGGATTAGGGCCAGGGTTTAGGGCTAAAGGTTAGGTGTGCATTTTCGGGTTTAGGGTCAGGGCTAAAAGGTTAGGGGTGCACTTTAGGGTTTAGGGCTAAAGGTTGGGTGTGTATGTTTGGGGTTTCGGTGACATAGACCACAGTGCTGGGTGTTTCAGGGGTCGGGATTCCGATTTTAGGGCGCGGCAGCACCTGTATTGAATGAGACGGTTTCGGGTGTAGGGTTTAGGGTACATCACAATTCCGGTTTATATTCAGCATGCAGCGGCTCGGATCGAGTGCGCCTGTGCTTTCAGACTCCATAGGCTACAGCTCCAACCAGCCTCTACAAAACATGGCCCCTTGACTGTCTGATGCTTAGTAGGGAATGGGGGAATTGATCCCTATGATAGTCCCTTAAGGTCCCTTATAGTGGTCCCTATAGCCCATTCCCCCATTCCCAACTAAGCACCAGACAGTTGAGTTAAATCACAACAGCAACATGAACCAGAAACGCCTTGCGGGAAGCGCAAGCTCCCGATCAAACCTCGAACCTACATCTTGAGCCCTGGAACATGAACCTCAGATCTTAGACCCTAAACCCTAAACCCTGAACCCTTCCCTAAACCCTGAACCCTAAAACACCCTAAACCCTGAACCCTAAATCCTAAACCCTAAACCCTGAACCCTGAACCCTAAAAGACCCTAAACCCTAAACCCTAAACCCTAAACCCTGAGCCCTAATCCCTGAACCCTAAACCCTAAACCCTAAACCCTAAACCCTAAACCCTAAACCCTAAACCCTAAACCCTAAACCCTGAACCTAAACCCTAAACCCTAAAAGACCCTGAACCCTAAACCCTGAACCCTGAACCCTAAAAGACCCTAAACCCTAAAAGACCCTAAACCCTGAACCCTAAACCCTAAACCCTAAAAGACCCTAAACCCTGAACCCTGAACCCTAAACCCTAAACCCTAAACCCTAAATCCCGGAAGCCTGAGCCCTAAATCCCGGAAGACTGAAGATGACACCCTGGCGCCTTTCAA